CAATTTCAATTTTCTGTAAAACTAATCATGAGAAAAATATTATTTTTTAAAGATTTTATTAGTGTCATTGATATTTTAAGAAGAAAATATTGTACAATAATAATATCATAATTATTACATTTTAATAAAGGGAAACATATATAACACTTAAAATTTTGCAATTTATGAAACTAACACCCTCTTTTATTTAATTTTCAAACTCTCATTCAAATATCAAAATTAAATAATCTGATCGTGACAAGCATAAATACTTAATTCGGTAATTCAAAAATAACTTGGTGCTATTTTTATAAATAATATTTTTTTAGTGCTATTCATGTAAATTTTATTGTGATATTTTCTCACATAAATGTAAACAGATAATACAAAAACTATATTCAATTATTAGCATGATATTGATCCTTCAAATAAAGTGAAAAAAAGGCTTTTTCCAACTGGGCCTGTCATTAACAAATTATCTACTAGACATAAATTGATTGAACTTGGACAAATTGATTGGACAACTAAGTGCTTACGGACTGGCATCCAACTACAAAGTAAAATGTATATCATTTGCTACCTTAATCCCCTAATTTCATATTAATCTATAAACCTTTCAAACCAAATAATAATAATGATAATAATAATAATAAACTTATCCTGATGGTTGGTATATTCGAGTCGAAATTGGGTCTTATTAGGCCCAACTTATTAATAACTGAATTGATCAAGAATGGGGTTACAAGGGACTTCTTGATATGCTAGGTGTCAATTCGTAACAACAATTCGATCCAAAATTGGCACGACCCTACAGATAGGAAATCCCAATCCAAATCCGACCTATCTTCAACACGCTAATAAGAACCCGACCGATATAACCTATTTAATATAAGAAATAACCACTATTTGGGTTAAAACTATAAGAAATTCCGGTCAACATCGAGCCGATTCTAGATTGGTGGGTCAACTTGAAGTCAATTTAGTGTAACGGTTTCATTTTTGGGTTGTTGAATCAACCCGAACCTGGTCCAAAGCACTAAATAGGTTAATATCTTTAATCCAATCCTGACCCGAAAAATTATTCAGAATAACCATAACATGATGTTTTCAGGATTGGGTTCATAATTTCTTACACCCCTGTATACTAATTTTAAAGCATTGAAGTTGTTAGGTGAATCTATATGCATATTACCAAATGCACATTCTTTATTTCCACTACCACCAATGCATAACTCATCAAATCAACTTTCAGTAATTAGATTCCTACCTATTTCTTTCTCTCGTCTAAATATAAAGCTTCAAGCGAATCTATAGCCCTATTAAATTTATTCATTAGGGGCTTTTACATGCATACCACCGAGGTCTTTTAACAGGCAAACTTTGGTTTTTATATTTGTAACATTGAAATTTTTCATATTTATAAGATTTTGAGAAGTTAAAGCTTAGATGTTGGATAACAACCATAAAGCTCGAAAACCCCTTTTTGTTTTAATATATATGGGAATGGTCAGGGGCTATTATACAAGCCTCCAGCCACTCCTAATTTGTTTATCAATTATAGCACCACATCCTTAAAACAAATTGTGTCAGAAAGAATTTGAACCCCCGACCCGATGGGTTTTATACCGATGATACCAACCAACAGGCCAAAGTACGCGACACCTATTGCGTTATATGTATTATAGAAAAAATATGAAGATTTACATACGTACCAATCAATTCATATGTATTCACAAATTAATTTAATTTCTAAGTTATAATTTTTTATAAAGATGTCATATTATCTATGCATCAAAGGATGCACTTTACTTTTTAAAAGTTAAATATGTGAATTTTTTTATGGAATATGAAAGATTTGGGTGATATAAATGTAAAAAAGCAAAATTTTGTAGTTAGATATGTAAATACATAACCATTGGGCGGTATGCATGTAAGTGTCCCCCATAAAATAATTATATATATGACTAAAAGATAAATCTCCCTCTCTTTCGGGTATGTTATCCAAATCTCTGAATGGTAAATTTCCCTTTAGCACGCTTCTTAGAAAACTCACGATGAGGCTCTTTTAAAATAATCTACAATTTTTAGGACATAGTAATATAAACCTATGCAATCAATTTGATATTTAAAGTTAGAAATTGTACCACTTGACATAATTAATTGGTACTTTATTCGTACTCACAAGTCATGAGCTTAAGCTTCATAAATAGCTAGGAAAAATAATTATGTGTGCCTGTAAGTAATAATTTGGTGAGTGGTAGTTATATATGAAATACACCATTTCATGTATGATTAAGATGGTATGTACGTAAAAATTGAAATTCAGGAATTAGATATGTAAATACACAGGAATTAAGTGGTTTGTCACATGTATATAAATATTCCTAGAATTTATTAAAAATAAAAATGACATAATGTCAGTCACACGCATGGATGACAAGTAAAAATTGACATCAAATAAATTTAAAAAGAAATTGTATATAAAGTTAGCTACGTCACTGTATATTATGGTAGAAATAAAGTTCTAATTTTAAAATTTTTTATGTGTTTTATAGCCCAAAAAAATCAATACTTATCTTAAAGTTCTCCTACTTCAATCGTGAAATCATAAAATACAATTTAAGAAAAAAAACAAGATGATATAAAATTATTCCATACTTAGACACCACATCTGAACAAAAATATTTAATATATATATATATATATAGTTTAGAAAAGTAGTATTTTAATTTTGAAATTATATATAGATATAAAACTTTGAGGATTTAAAGCATTTTTTAATCTTTTATCAACGCTTTATCAATTTTCATGGTCTTTTCTCCGCGCCTTGCTTTTCTTCAGCCCCACCATCCACTACTTTCGCTTTTAACTTTGCCTCAGCGTTCTTTTCTTAGTGCCCACATCTTCCCTTCCACCACAATATAACCCTCGCACGCCACACTCCTACCTCCATTCCAAAAACAAATACATTTCAAATCATCCGAGTTTTGGAAGATGAAGAAGCACTCGAATGGTTTCTTCAAGCATGCAATGTCTCTCCTCGCGGCAGTCCTGAAGGCCAAATCGACGGCGGCGAAGAGCGGAGTCGGTGCCGCGAAGACGAGATTCATAATCTTTAAGCTTCTGCAGGACAAAAATGCATTGGCAAGCGTTTTCCCTAATGAGAAGAACGGGCGTTCATCCAACGAAGAGAGAGCGATTGGTTGTGATAAAATGATATTGCGTGATGATGACGACGATGAAACAACTGAATATGTTGGGGAGAGATTTGAAGAACTTTGATGTGATGCTGAATTTATAGGAGAAGTTGAAGAGAGGGATGAAGGGTTTGATTTTAAGGTTGAGGATGATCTAGCGGCAGATATGTTTTTATAAGAAAGTTTCGTGAGGAGATGGAGATGCAGAGACAGGAGACTTCTCTCAAACTGTATCGAGATGTGTCAACTAGAAGTGATTAGCTGAGGGTTATGTTTGTATTTATAATGAATAATTAAGCAACTTTATCGCACTTAATTGAATATTAAATTTGACTATCATCACTTATTAAGAAGATGTTTACAAGATTACCGATAAAAGTTAGCTGAAAGGAATTTGAAATATGGCCAGTGTTATTCCATATTTTACAACTTAAGATTAAAAATAAATAAATAAATAAATAAATAAAAACAGCGAACAATAATATTTGGGACTATAGCATAATAAGACTTGATTATTTTTATAATATTCGGCTATTTTGTAATATTTTATAATATAAATTAGTTTTGATTTATTTAAATATTATAATTGTTTTTATTTTAATTTTGATGATAATAATTTAGGAGCTATCTATATTTAAAATATATTTGATTGCTACTTAGATCAATGAGTTCTTTTAATATATATATAATAATTTACAAAAATAATTTTCTATTATTCCTATGTTCCAAGGTGTTCTTACCTCAACCATTAGAAAATAATTACAAGTGGAAGGCAAACAAAAAAATAGCAAGAAAGTATAGAATGATATCATCGTTATTTGGTCAAATTGTTAAAAAAAAATTGCTTTTTAATAAAAGAATATTATGTTTCATTCAGTACTGGCTTAAAATAAATTATTAATTTTATATTAAAATATTTACTAATTAAACAGTAAATAATTAAACCAATTCAAGTCATGTTATACTCATTAGTATTTATTTATGGTTGTTCGGCTTATGCTAAATTGAATTTTGTAAAAACCAACTGAAAATATAAACATTTTTAGACATGCCAAAGACAAACAACTTATCAACTCACACAAGTTTGACTTACGACATGTTTGAGACAACTTTATGTATGTTTTGTGTTGCAGACATCCACCACAACTCCATTTGAAGAATAACTTTCTAAAATTTGTTGTGGCAGAACATTATTTTTCTCATCTAGATATGTTAAAATGGATTGTTTATATTAAAGTTAAAGCATGATTTTCTTGGACACACACACACAAATATATATATATACATATATATAATATAGTTATAATTCTTAGTGCAATTTTGTAAAATGTTGTTTTCTCTGCCACAATATTTAAAAACCACCCTTTAAAAAGTTATAGTCATCCAAACAGACTATTAATTAAATCCCTAGCCATACTTTTACATGTTTATGTATCTAATACTTACAACTTTATCTTCATATAGACAACATTGCAGTATATAAATGATATGTTTACATATACATAAAAAATATTAAATCTAAGTATTAAGTATATAAATATATTAAATTTTGAAGATAATTCTTTTTATCTAGTATAATATTAAAGTGCTGCTAAACTCATCAAATAATTTAGAAAAAAAGTTATTTAAGTTTGTTTCAAACGGCTCACTTAATCATGTAAATATTGGTATACATTTTTGTTATGTTTTTAAAGTGATACTACGCTTATCCCAGTCAGATGCCAAAGCTGATATTCGCATGCATTAATCCACCGGGAAAAGAGGACGTGTCAAAATTTAACTGGCTTCAATGACGTGGAGCGTATTCCAGGCCTGTGACCCAAACAAAGGAGGAGTCGGGTCCTTCTCCTGGGTACAGGAGACTGGAAAGAGGGAGAGAGCAGAGAGACTCCAGATTTCACCGCATCGAGCTGGTCGGTCAGATCTCTGTTTCTTACCTTCCGTCTACTAGGGATTGTTATCTCTTCCGCTTTCAAGTTGCTTCTCAACTGTCCTTCTTGCTTTGATCTAGGTTTATGAGATTGCCGTGATGGGAGGAAGTTGGATGGCGCGTTATTTATTTTTCACGCTATTCGCTTGCTCTGTGGTTCATCTCCGTGCTTCCGAACAGGTAAATTCTTCTTTTCATAAAGCCGATTTTGCTGATCTGGATCGTTGTTGGTTGTTTTGAGCTAATATTGGTGTTTTTTTTCCTTTCAGTTGTTCTTTGAACCCTTTGACGATTCATTCGAGGGAAGATGGATTGTTTCGGGGAAGGATGAGTACAAAGGTATTTATTCGGATCATATTGGATCTGATTCGCTTAATTTGTCTTCTTACTTGTGGGTTGGCTAATTTCTGATTTATCTATTTTGAGGGATGGTTATCATATTATTGTGGCATTTCTATCTTTCGGGCTAGAAATTGATATACTCAGAGAAGGTTTATGTGATGTCCTGTGTATTATGCAGGAATGGTGTTTTTAAGGAATTGGGAGATGTTGTAAACCATCCTCAAGTTCTAAATAGATTATATGGCTAGGTTGTGTATGGACAAGTTGTAACAAGTACTAAGGTAGGGAGGGTAACCCACTCCAAAATCCTAGATCCCATGTCTTGCAGATTAAATATTTTAAAAGGATTCGAGGGAGCGAGGATGACTTATCCCAAGGCTCTAGATCCTTTGTCTAGTGGATTTAATAGTTTTTAAAGAGCCATGCTTGTAAACTACGCTATCCTAAGGTCGTTGTGCCCAATGATCAACTCCACCCTAAGTGGTGTTTGGCTGCAATTAGGATTCAGTAAATACGTAAATCTCTTAAATCCACCCAACACTTGGATTTTATAAATCCGGTTTTAAGTAGAATCAACGACAAAATTGGGGCTGCAAAATCCCAGAATTTATTAAATCCACGAAATTCCTGCATTTTACCATTTGTCCGGATTTAGTAAATCCAGTGATAAATCTTATTAAAAGGCACTACCAAACAGCCCCTTAGGTGGAAGATCATATAAAAGGATTTTAAGGCTGATTGATAATCTGATTTGGCTTCACAGAGGTTATAACTAAAAACAAGAAAGCTAGTAAACAACTTTGGATCATCAATGATTGTATAGAGCAAGTTTCTAGTCAATATATAGATTGCTAGAACTCCTAGACGCTCAATTGGAGCAAGCTATAGTCAAAATTGGAAGGTCCACTAGATCATTTTCATTTATAGCAATTTAAGGCATGGTTACTAGTCCAATTAAGGTATATGTAGGTGGGTTATAACCAAATATAGGAGGAATAACAAACCACTTAGGATCATCTATGACCATATAGGGAAAATCACTAGTCAATTCATGGCTTACTAAAATGGGTTAGGGTAGACTACAAGAACACCCATGTTCAATCAAAACAGTTTAGTGTCAAGGTTCAAAGGCATATTAGGTAATGTTGAATTTCTCTCTCTTGCGGAGTGGGGCCTACTCACTCTCCAATCATAGCAAAGAGCTTAAGGCCACGAATAAAGCTCTTGTACTATTGAATTAATTTATCTACGGCTCTTGGATTGCAAGAGTTGCCAGCCCTTTCATAGTTTTTCTCCCATATTTTTAATGTATTCCTATATTGTAATGCTTCTTGGAGATGTGTATATACCTCCACTCTTGTGCAGAGAAAGGGCAATGAAAAAAATTATTGAAATTTTTTTCCATTGCTTTATTTTCTACAAGTTTCTTAAGATCTACTCAGCTAACCTATTTTAAACCACAATGCTATCTAATTTTGAACTTGTGCCAAGTTTGATACACTCCTTATTTTTGAGTAAACTGGAATAAATCCAAGGTTTTGAAGACTAATCGGACATCAAACCACAAGAAAAAAATATTTAAAGTTTAAAGGTTGAGCCGGGGTTGAAGTATTTAATATAATAAAAAATAAAATTATTTAATTAAGATGTAAATTAGTATAATAATTATATAATATTTATGTTAACCTTTTTTAATATTAAAAGTTTATAATATAAACACACACACACACACACACACACACATATATAGTTTTATAATATGTTTTATAAATTATTGAAGCCCAATGCTCACATCTCTACTCAATTTTTGTAGCTTGGCTCAACGATAATTTTGTAGCCCAACCCAATTCCCGCAGACCAATTCTTAATTCATATTTGTCATTCACATGATTCATGTAGTCTCACGTCATAGAGAAGCGTTAATATTGTAAACTTTAAATTGGAAAAGAAAGTTGAACTTGTAGCGCATTTAGTCGGTGGGCATATTGGTCTTAAGTTGTATATTGATTTGAATTTTATATAATGTATGTCAACTGAAAAAGATATTTTTAGCTTAATAAATTTATTTCTAACTTTATAGATCATTGATTAATGGTAAGTGATAGATAAAAAATTGAACCCGACTGTTTTACAAAAATCAAATGAACCTGTTTTTTTTTTTTTTAAATTGTTATTGGTTTGCCGGTTGAAATTCTATTTCGTGGCGGTTCTGGGCGGTTTGATGTGGAGAAGGGTTTTTGTATGAAGTGGAACCGAACTTATGACCGGTTGGTTCTAGGTCAAAACGGCTGATCTGGTTCTATTTTTAAAACCTTGAAAAAATTTTAGTGAGTCATGAATCTGTATGAACTTCATTGTGGCATTGGTGGCTACAGATTCAGTAGCAAAGACAAACTGAATGCAGTTTAGGACATTCTATTTAGGATCAATTTTCATTGATGCTTGGATCATATGTTCTTGGGCAAACAGATATGGAACAAAAAATAGTTTTAAAGGACTGCAATTGGAACGAACACAATCTTTATCTTCAACTAGTGAATTCTCTCCATGAATATATGACTGAATTAATGTTTATTTTTCATTAAATGTGATGTCAGCGGATGTGCAAAATTTTTTATAAAGAAAATGATAACATTTATATATGTGTCATTTAGATCTGCAACCATGAAACATGCTTAGTTGTTCTGGGGTTTTGACTGACCATCATGATCTGCATTTTTCATATATGGCTTATGCAGAACAACTTTTGCTCAATAATGTTTTAGGAAATTCCCTTGAAATAACAATGTCCGAGTGATATTTAGTAAATGATTCACTTTTATGGCAATTTCATATTGTTGGGGTGTATTTAGACAAGATGGCTTATGAATAATGTCTTATTTTTGGAAGCAGGTTGCCAAAAACTGATTAAGGTAATCTTTTGTATTGGCATGCTTAAGTTTTAAGTTGTTACCCGAAATTGGTTTTGAATCTTGGAATGAATTGTAGGGATAATATTGCTGTGTCAATTTTTTGTTTAATCAAGAAAGTATATGTGGCTTTAACTAAAACATACATAATAAATACATAAATCAGCGCCACAAATCATCATTTGTAGATAAAAATCATTGAGTTCTTGAACATTTGGTTTTGTAAGCACTGTAAATGGTCCCCAAATGTCAATGTGTATCAATGCAAAAGAGTTCGAATTTCTTTTTATGCTAAATTGACGCATGATTGTGCTTTGCAGTTTATAAACATAATAAAAATGTTTCTAAAAATTGAAGTTTACCTGTTAAATATGTAAGTACATGAAAATTGAGTGGTATGTAAATTTAATCATTTTACTTTTGCCATCGCAGTTTCATTTTCTTAAAGTCAATTGAATACCCTGGGCAATCATTGTGTTATTTTTTTTTTTCAAATTTTATAACTTAATTTGTTCCCCCTGTGATTTCTTTTGTTAGGTGTGTGGAAACACTCCAATAGTGATGGACATGAAGACCATGGCCTTCTTGTTAGCGAGAAGGCCAGGAAGTATGGCATAGTTAAAGAACTAGAAGAACCAATCAATCTCAAGGACACAACAATTGTTCTTCAGTATGAAGTTCGCTTTCAAAACGGCCTCGAATGCGGCGGCGCTTATCTGAAATATCTTCGTCCCCAAGGTCCCGAATGGATTCCCAAAGAGTTCGACAATAATTCTCCTTATTCCATCATGTTTGGACCTGATAAATGTGGCTCTACTAACAAAGTCCACTTCATCCTCAACCACAAGAATCCCAAAACCGGCAAATATGTTGAACACCACCTTAAATACCCACCCTCGGTTCCATCCGACAAACTTTCTCATGTCTACACCGCCATCCTCGAACCTAACAATGATATAAGGATTTTAATTGATGGAGAGGAGAAGAAGAAGGCAAATTTTCTAACTAGCGATCATTTTGAACCCGCGATAATCCCACCAAAAACCATCTCCGATCCGGATGATAAGAAGCCAGAGGACTGGGATGAGAGAGCGAAAATTTCTGATCCCGATGCGGTGAAGCCCGACGATTGGGACGAAGATGCTCCCGTCGAAATCGAAGATGGGGATGCAGTTAAGCCCGAAGGATGGTTGGATGACGAACCGGAGGAAATTGATGATCCCGAAGCATCGAAACCAGAAGATTGGGATGATGAAGAGGATGGAGAGTGGGAGGCACCAAAGATTGATAACCCAAAATGCGCCGCGGCTCCCGGATGCGGCGTGTGGAAGAGGCCGACGAAGAGGAATCCGGCCTATAAGGGAAAATGGCATCGTCCATTGATTGATAATCCAGATTATAAGGGCATCTGGAAACCTCAGGAAATACCGAATCCGGATTATTTCGAGCTTGTGAAGCCTGATTTTGAGCCGATTGAGGCCATTGGCATCGAGATATGGACCATGCAGGATGGTCTACTGTTCGATAACATTTTGATAGCTGATGATGAGAAAGTAGCAATATCTTATAGAGAAAAGTTTTGGAAACCTAAGTATGAGATTGAGAAGAAAATGCAGAAGGCTGAAGAAGCCGCCTCAAATCTCCCTAATAAACTATCGAATTTCCAGGTCACATTCGCTGGAATTATAAGTTAATTTGGTACTTTATTATTGTTATTTTCTTTTGAATCCAGGTGCTGACGATGATTAAAAATTGCAGAGAAAAGTGTTTGATATTCTCTACAAGATAGCCGACATTCCTTTCTTGAATGCATACAAGATAAAGTTTATTGTAAGTAGTAAAATCTCTTTCAACTTTATTTTCTTTTCTTCTCTTAATTGTTTGACATCATTTTCTTTCTCCTTTGGAAGATTTACATACATTCCACTCAAGTCTTATTTATTTACATATCTAACATGTAAATGTCAATTTTTACATATATACAACGTTACCTATGTATGAAAAGGTATATTTCAATTTTTAAAAATTAAAATGGTGGTATTTTTTATGTAATATGAAAGATTTAAGTGGTATAAATGTAAAATTTAAGTGTTAGATATGTCAATACATACGAATTGTGATTCTCTTCTCTTTTTTACGAGGAACCCTCTTTCCACCCCACTTTTCCTTTCTTTCATGGGAGAAAAAAAAAATCTTATTATTATTTTAGGGCAATTGCATATAGAGCACCTGAAATTTTACTATTTACAAATGGAGCATCCTCTTTCATCCAATTTTCAAATTCTCTCTCAAATATAAAAAAATACATGATAAAATTCTAACCCATATTTTTCAATTTTATCAAATTTTCTATGATTTGATTGTGGCACGCGTAAATACATTAGTTCGGTAGTTCAAAAAATCACCTGGGTGCTTGATTTGTAAAATATCAATGCTTCAGATGCTGTATGTAATTATCCCTTATTATTTTTTTTGACTTCATCTACTACATGTCTTACCTTGATGTAAAATGCAGAAATATTGTCAAATCTTGTTTATACTGTACTGCGTTGTTTAGTTTGTCGGCATGCCATTCTCTTGTTTTTTTTTTTTGCTTTGAATAATATAAAATAAAATAAACTAAATTTTAGCAATTTGAAATGCTCGAATTTTTTTTGTTTCCATACTTTTGAAAATTGTGCTAATTATGGCATTTTCAAATCTGCATTGCACCCGCTCAGAATTCCCATCTACTATCATTTTTTGTTCATTGTCCTTCCTTATCCTTTCTCGTCATCATTCTTGTTCTCATTCACGTTTCAATGCATTTAAATCATATTTATAGTAAATAATAAATCTACTATCATTTTGCATTTAAATTGCATTTAAATTGCATTTATATTGAAAGTTCGAAAAATATTTCAATACATTTGGTGCCCATCCAACCAAAGCGCAAGGCTAAAAGGGCAATTTTGTAATTTATTATTTATTATAAATATGGCTAAAATGTTTAGGGTTTGGGTTTATACTAGGAGATTGTTGTCTTGAGTCTTAGTGCTAGGGTTCTGGGATAGATCGCCTGGCTCTCAAATTGTAGGTGTTATCTTTGGGCTTTGGAGATATCACCTACCTCTCAAATTGTAGGTGTTTGTCTTTATGTTTTCGGATTGTGTTGTTGAAGAAAAGATTTGTTTGTCCTAATTTCTGTGAAAACTTCCTTCAATTTGTATCACTCCTATACGCACCTTCCAATTACTGTACCATTTTTTAAAATGCATTCAGTTTAAGCAGATCCAACTAGTCAGCTCATAAATTGCTTCCAATACTAATTTTTTTGAAAATTTACATACACACAACTCAATTCCTATGTATTTACATATCTAACACCGAAACTTTAATTTTTACCTTCACACCTCCTTTCACATGCATGGAGATGTGTCTTTCATTTTTTGAAAGTTAAATGGACATAATTTTGGTGTGATATGAAAGATTTGCAAAGTTTAGATGTTGGATTTGTAAATACTTTGAAATTGGGTGGTATGTATGTAAATTGCCCCTCATTTTTTTAGCCGAATGTTTTCATTTGTTTTAGCTCATTTAATATTTTCTGGTATTTCCATATGTTAGCACTTTCAAATTGGATTTTTTTTTGTAAATACTAAATTTAAAATTTCTTGAGCTCTAGGATATCATTGAGAAAGGTGAGAAGCAGCCTCATGTCACTACTGGAATCCTCGCATCAATTATTGTGGTGATCGTCTCCGTCATCCTCAAGTTTCTGCTTGGAGGAAAGAAGAAAACTACAGTAAGCTTCCTTTCCGTGCCTTTATGGTCGAGATCAAATTTTTCTCCTATTATTTTTTATTAATTTTTTAATTTAAAAATATATATATATTAGTGTATTTTTTAAATATATATATTTGATTTTAAAAAATAAATAAATTTATTCTTACAAACACTCAAAAATAATTCTTAGATAGTATTTTTAGATATAATTAACAAAGCCTAGCCTAATCCTCTACCTGCCAACTGTGTCTGCCGACTGGTGTCAAAATAAAAATAAAATATGTTTTATTTTAATATTTCAAATATGTTTTATTTTAGAGACATTTATGTACATATCATATAATTCATATGTATTTATATATCTAACCCCCAAACTTTAATTTTAAGTATATGCTTCCTTATATATGCAATATGTATTTCACTTTTTAGAAGTTGCAATTATGATATTTTTATTGTGATATGAAAGATTTGAGCTGTATAAATATAAAAATTAAAATTTAGGTGTTAACCATGTAAGTACATAAGAATTGGTTGTATGTATTTAAATGCTCCTTTGTTATAAATGAAAGGAAAATTTAGCTAAATACCACCCAATTCTTGTGCATTAGCATCTTCCGGTCATAAACTTATCCTTGAAAAGGTGTCACTCACCCTTAAAAAGATAGATGATAGATACTTTTTATTTGGTTTTAAAGAATTGATTGGTATGCACGTAAATATAAAAGTTTAGCTGTTAGATATGTAAATGCATGAGAATTGTGCGGGTATGCATGTAAAAGCCCCTAAAAGTGGTTTCAAACAACGCCAAACACGCTGTATTTTTCATTCTCTTACAAATCCTCCTGTGAATTCAGCCTTCTCAGGAACCTGTAACGGCTACAACCAGCGCTCCAGCTGAGGTGAAAGAAGAGGAAAAGCCTGAAACGAAAGAAGAAACCGAGAAAGAAGAAGAAATTGAGAAAGAGGAACCCGGCGCTCTTCGCCCGAGAAGGTCCAGACGGGAGACTTAAAACTGTGGTTACAGTTCAAGGTAACCAGTCTCCCCAAGTTTCAGTTTTTCTTATATTTACATATTTATCCTTCCCAGCACATTAGTCTAGGGTTATTATTCTACTTTGAAAGATTGTTTTTGTGGGTCTAAAACTCTAAATAGCTACTGAAAGCATTGTTATTGTAGAACATAGATTCTTTTTTTTTTTAATACTGGTTTCTCTTGGATTATGAATCTGTTATTGTGAATTTTCTGTTCAGTGTTCTAAATACAAATGATGGGACCTATTATAAAATAGGGACAATTACCTACAGACCACTCGAAACATTGATATTTACAAATTAGCCATCTAGTGGAATTTTTTTTTTTGAACTATCAAACCGTTGTATTTACACGTGCCACAATCAACCTTTTGAGAATTTGATAAACATGAATAATATGGGTTAGGATTTTACCAGCAATTTTGATATTTGAGTGAAAATCTGAAAAATGGATGAAAAATTGTGGTTGTACATAGCAAGTTTTGGCTGATCTGCATGCGATTGCCCCTATAAAATAATGTGATTTGTTTGTTTACTTGAAGGGCGGGCTATTTTGAATCAATTAAGATTTGTGTTGTGATGAGTGTAATCTAAATTTAATTGATTCTTTTTATACTATATTGCGGCTTCTTCATATATATCACCCAATTTTTATGAATTTACATGTCTGATACTTAAATTTTGATTTTTTATATTTACAGCATTCAAAATTTTCAGGTCATCGACAAAATTATCATCATTAATTTTCAAAATAATGAAATACATCTTTTGCATGAATAGGTAATTTTTATAAATGTAAATTACGAAGTTTAGGTGTTACATATGTAAATACGCAGAAATTGCGGCACATATGTAAATCATCAGATTATAATTATCTTAAAGTAGATTAGATGGATACCTAATTGTTTTTTTTAAAGTATATATTAAAATTATTTATTCAAAATTTAGGTTGGGTAAATTTTACATCCTTTTAATTCTTAAATTATTGTTTGCATCAAATCATATGTCGCTGAGAGATGGAAGTGGAGGGAAAGCTAAAGAAGGCTTTGTGTATGATTTCATTGGTCTTTATGTTGTACTCGATCGTTTTCACCAATTAAATGTGTCGATATAAGTTGGATAGTTTGGCATTACTTTTCTATTAAAATACAATTTTAGCTCGTGGTGTTGTATCTTTTAATTTTTAATTTATGCTTTAGTGTCTTGTTTAATATAATATTTCAAAATTCAAGATCCTTTTTATAATTTTATTAATAGTTTAACTAGGGTTATCTTATTCAAAAAATTTAAGAGAAATTTCAGGGCAGGACATGCATTTTTTATATATTTATATATATTTGCACCAAAAGTTTGATATTAAAACTTGTGCTTGAAAGAGTACTTTTCACTTTTAAAGTTAGTAGCTTTTTTATGTGATTTAAATATTTGAGTGGTATGTATATAAATATGGAAGTTTGTGAGTTTGAAAAATAAACTCAGAATTGTGTGATATTTATATAAATTCTCTTTTCTAAGCAGATTTTTCAACCCATTGATACAATCTACACAATTTATATTTGAGGCATTTACATACACACCACCCAATTCTTAATGATACAAAAAATATGTTGGCTCCAATCTAAAAGCAAACAGATAGCTAAGAAGGAAGGAACTACTGATCAGACAAATCAGACGCTAGCGAAGAAGTTTTTTGTATTAAATGACCGAAAAAATACCAGAGAGTTTCCCAAAGAATGACGATCGATTTTCAGACCGATCGACAAGTACCGATGGAGTTACCCCAGGAGGAGCCGTCTACAAACTTTTTTTCGACCGAATCAGTTCTTCAATCTTATTATATTCTAGTATCTTTGTAATTACTAAAAAAACCCCTTAAAAGACTAATAAGGAGAGGATTGATATGTAATTTTGTAGGACTACGACCTATTCTTATAAATAAGGGATTCATATCATGAATAAAAGATTATGCACTCTTTATTGCTCTCTATTAGACCTTTCCTCACTCCCCCTGCTAAGATGTTCTATATCTTTGGTGTGTTTTCTGGACACTTTAGAATCTGACATTCTTTAAGGCGCGGTAAGTGCGAAAACATGCCATTAACAAAAAGAGGAATTTGACAACAATAATAAGAATTCATCCAGTAGGGTTTGCAAAACTTGAGAACCCAAATCACCAATCGGATGTCAGGACAATTCGCACATGTGCTAAGAGCGGTCGCTGCTCTAGCAGTGACTTCGGTCCCAAGAGAAGAATCAGCACGACAATGAGCACTCAACCCTCCTCAAGGGGAACAACCAATAAACTACAGAAGAAGAACAATCCACCTACTGAAGAAACCCGATGACGGGTTATATTAGGATAGCATTAGATCTGAATCAAGAAGAGAAATCAACCGGTGCAAACCAGGGCGCAATGACAGCTGAAGAATGCCTTCTTGCTACAAGTATTGGGAGCTGAACTCCCGGAGAAGTTTAAAATGCCAGGCCTAGAGCTAAGGGCAGTTTTAGTTTGAATCTTCCATATGTCTGCTAAAAATCTCTGACGCTCTCAACTGTAAGTTGTTCTTCATCACGTTGAGGTTGTATGTACTAAGATGGTTCGACGGACTACCAGTATGGGTGATCATCTGTTTTGCGGAATTCAAGAGGCTTTTTCTATCTCAGTTCGCCAATGCTCTAAGACCCAAAAAGAATGTCCGATCTCTATGACAACCAAAACAAGGAGCTAATGAGAGCTCGCGATCATTTATTACACGGTTCCAGAGGGAAACATTGGATGTAAAAGACTTGAAGCCTGACATGGCCCTAACATAGAGAGTGAGGTCGGAGAGATTTTGTTTCGACCTTGACCTCGCAGAACTGCAGAGTTTGGCTAAGCTGTTAAAGATGACCAATAAGTATATTGATGCTTATGAGAATGCCCCATAGCATGTCGAACAGAGACACCAGAAGAGGCTGCCACAGGACAACAAAAGGAAACCTATACAAAGTATACAATCTATCATCCGCCCTCACTACGAAAACAATCCCAACAATAACCCTGCCCATCATCACAAGGATCAAATGAGACATAAAAAAGGTTCAAATGAGGCAAAAGAAGGCCCAACACCACTACTCCTCCCATTACCACAAACAACCTTAGTACAACTACGGTGCCCTCCAAGCTACCCCATTATGAGTGTCTATGGCATGAATAGTGGATGTTATTCAAGATAATGAATTTATTTGAAGACACCATCAATAAGAACAGTAGCCTTTCTCCGAGATAGCAGTAAATACCGCAAGTATCACAGAGACCACAGACATGATACAGAGGAATGACTAGTCAAATCCAGAAAAGATTCAAGCACTCCTCGACATGCTTGCTCTTAGAAACACCAAAGAAATTCAAAGAACTGGTCAAATCACAAGGTTGAGTAGGTTCATCTCAAATTCATGAGATAAATTCATTCCATTCTTCAAAGTATTCAACAAAGACTAATGTTTTGAATGGACACACGAATGTGAGGAAGCCTTCAAAAATCTCAAACAGTCCCTCGGCTCTCCTCCTCTCCTTTAGAGCCTGAAACCAAAGGAAATCCTTTTTCTTTGCCTGAGAGTCTATCTCGAAGCCCTTAGTTTTTTCTTGGTCAGAGAAAAACTCGAAAAAGCAGTACCCAGTGCCCTACACTAGTCGGGTCCTCAAAGATGCCGAACTCAGATATCCTATAATTGGGGAAACTGACATCCGCCTTGGTTGTTTCAACACGAAGGCTACGACCGTACTTCCAAATACATCTCATATAGTTTATTAACTACCACCCACTGAAGTCTGTTCTCACCCGACCGGGCACTCCAACCGACTAGTCAAATGGGCCATGAAACTCAGTGAGTCTGACATCTCCTACATTCCCCGGACAGTGATAAAAGTGAAAGCTATTGCAGATTTCCTAGCAGACTTCTCCAAGCCAAAGGACGTGAAGGAAGAATTGGTGATCAGCGAAGTCACAAGGACCTTGTTCATGAATGAAACCTCCAGCTTATTGCGCGCTGGACTGGGAATTTTTCTTTGTAGTCCAATATGGGAGAATAACTATTAATCAATCAATGTAAATTTTCTACTAACTAACAACCAGACAAAATATGAAGCTTTGATTGTAGGTATTAGCTTGGCCTTTGAGATGGCGATCCTCTGCATAATGGTAAAGCCGAACTCACAGTTGATGGTGAACCAAATCAATGGAGAGTTCAAAACAAGAGACGAGGCGATGACAAGGTACCTCAGAAAGGTAAAGATGGCGATCAGTCGATTCTTTAGCTTCAAAATCGAGCTTGTCTGAAGAGAAGATAACCGGATCACTGACCTCCTATCCTGAAACCTCCATCTGGGTGAAGGGCAGACTCGAAAACTCGTTCAACATTCGATCAAGGAACCCCAAATCCATAGTGAAGAAAGGAAGAGTTGGATGAACTAGTATGTCCACTACCTAAACATAGGAGAGCTCAACGAAGAGACCATCAACCACAGGAGATTCAAATTCAGAGTCGTCGAGTACCTAATAGTCGAGGAAAAACTCTTTAGAAAATTAACCACTTCCTTGAACTTAAAGCGCATTGTAGAAGATGAGGTTGAAGGCTTACTCCGAGAAGTCAATGACAGGGAGTGCGAAAGTCATTCTGGAGGAAAGATGTTAGCTCACCAAATCCACTGACATGGGCACTTATGGTCGAACTTGCTTAAAGACATCGAGGAATACTCTAAAAAATGTACACAGTGCCAGAAGTATGAATCATTGCACCATTAACCGATCCAAAAACTTCATCTGACGTCAGCCCATGGTCGTTCGCCGTGTCGAGCCTCGACATCCATGGACATTTTCCCAAGTCCAGGGGGCAACGAAAGTTATCGGTGGTCGTTTATTACTTATCTGAATGGATAGAAGTAAAGCCTCTCGCTCACATAATGGTGGAGGTTGTCCAAAAATTGATTTGGATTGATCTGATTTGTTGGTATGGGCTACCCCTCGTAATTGTTACGGATAATGAGACTCAATTTGCTGACATGAGGGTTAGGGATTTCTACAATAGTTGGCGGATCATCCTCAAATTTGGCTCCGTGCATCAAACCCAAACTAACGAACAAGCGGAGACCACAAACAAGGTCATTCTAGATTTGCTAAGGAAAAAG